CTCTTTCTTTAGTCTTATGCAAAAGGAGAAAAAAAAAGAGAGAGAGAAAAGCTTTTCTTTCCTCTTTTTAGGCTATCTTTCTTCTGTAACTTAAGTAATCTATTTAAGACTACCTTCTGTATTGCTTCTATATTGCTGACTGTACCAACTAAAAATCCAACCTTGGAGCTAGAAAAGAGTTAACATTTTAAAAGATGTTGATGAAGTTCTTTGCAGGCAGACTAAAAACTGCAGTGATTGAGACAGTTTGGCCGGACATAGGTCCAGACTGTACCAAAAGCTAAGCTGATAAGATACAGCCTGTAAGCTGACAAACTCTTAGGAAGGCCTGTTAGCACAGACAAAACTACATGTTCTCAGCCAGTCAACACAGAGCAAGGGAACAAGAAGTTCAAAAGGAAGCCAATACCAGACTGAACGTGCAACGCTGGGTGTAAGAAACTTACTGCAGGGGATGTTCTCCTCACCTCACTCTCCAGGAAAAAACGTATTAATGTTTTCAGCTGGTTAGTACTCGCCCCAAACTTCTCTCCTCTTTTGGGCAGAACTTCTTCATCTCTCTCATGACTGAACAGCCTGCCAACAGAAAAGTCAATCCAGTTATGCCACATATTCCCTAAGTTCATTGGCCAGCATAACACTCATTTTGTCAAGACTTCAAGGACCACATGTCTTCTGAATATCTACTTATCTATTCCAAATCATATTAGTCTTTCTAATCAGATCAAAGGAGAAGACATTAGATTGTTTTCCACTATCAGAGAACTGTTATGCTTATGAATACAGAGATTCTCTGTGACAGTTTCACAGGGATTCTGCCAACTTTCTGGACAACAGATGCAGATTTCACAGTGCTGAACATATAATGGGAGAGGCATTTGCTCATGCTTGAGCAGGTACTTACTGTAGACTGAATTTAAATCTTAATAAAAGAGTAAAAACATCACTACTTGGCTATTTTTCACATTATGGTACACCTTGGCACTGAGGCTCCTTAAAGAAAGCAGTGTCCTGTATTTACAAGATGCAATATATTCAACTTCAGATACTAGAAAATTTATCGTTCTTCTGTCTAATGTATGAAGAATATTACTCTTCATTCCAATTTTCACTCACCCTTTACCCAAAATGAATGTGACTATACTGCTCATGAAGAAGGTTAATCCTCAAAATACATAGGAGGAGGCCATCCCCACAGATTAACATAAAGCCTAAAGTACTTGGATTTACAGCAGGGCCACACAACTTAATGCTGGCATAAGCTTAAACTTCAAAAAGTGCTTCTGCTAGTATAGTATAGCCCAGCTCACCAAGCAACCCAAGTTAAAAATGCAGACATTGAAGGGCTTTCACAGACACACACACACAAAGCATTTATACTAAAACTACTAAAACTAAAACTATTTTAAGTATGTCTGAGAAGGAGGGTGACACCTAACACCACCACCACAGCAGAATCCTCACTTTTATACTGGTAGAAGGACGAAAGAGAAGAATGAGACAAAAAAAAAAGAACACGGGTGCAGTTTACAGGGTCACAGCACCCATGCTGCTCTGGGAGGCTGGGTATAAAAAGTAAAGCTATCAGGGCAATCATTTCAGTGGCAAAAAGCAGCAGTGTTCAGAGGGGGTAAACAGCCAGTTTATAATACAATAAGGGGACCCACAGAAATGATGAAGTAAGGCTAGCAGATGCCATGAAAGACTCATCAAAACAAAAAATTATCCTCATTTGTCTTGCTGTGGGGCTTGGCTCCATAAAACCCAGAATGTCAGCAATTCAGCTGGATAGGAACAGACAGCTTGGAGAAGATTCTCTGTTTGTAAGAAAGACAAATCATTATTATTTCTGAATGTTTCCCTACAACAGCCTTGCCAAAATATTCTTACTTTCATTCCCCTTTGTAAGGCAAAAATTATTTCTCTCAGCTGTAGAGACAGAATATTTCTTCTCTACTTAGCATGCCAATTCCATTCATTTTATGCAACCTTTGTTATAAGAAGCCCATTTATAAGAGTTGCTCCTGGGGAAGATAAACCCTATACTTCATTAACCTGACAGAAAATTGGGAGGCTTTTTAATCTGCCGCATCTCTCATTATTCAAAGTCTTTACAATGTATAAAACAACTTCCAAAGGGAGAAGAGGAGGCCATTTTTGTGATTAATCACTAAAGCTATGGAAATCCAGCAGATGCCAGGTGATGAATTAGCTTGTAAGAAGCAAAGCAATGGGGAAAGGAAGGAAAGGTGGTACACTCTTTATCTGGTGTAGCACCTGTGCATCAGCCAGTTGTTTCATATATTCTAGCCTTGCACAGGAGACATATGATTACCCCCCAAACAGCATTTCTCTTCCAACTCTAATGAAGAAAGCACATCTACTATCTTCACATCCTCGTATGTCCAGCAAAAAAATAAACACTTAATACCATTCTTAAATAAATCTACCTTAACTCCAAAACAAATAAGAATGTAAAAAAAGTAGGTAGGAAGATGGGCAGGCAAGATACCTTTTGTAAAGGAATTCCCCAGCTGCTGCTGCAAGTGGCCGGTGTGTGGCATAAACAAACTGGTACAAGGTTTCACAGTCTTCAGCTGATAACACATCCTCACAGTTCCTAAGCAAAAATAACAACAGAAGTTTTAGTTCAGGTTCATTTATGAATGCTATGCCCAGCTTTTACTACACTTGATTTTCCATAGCCTTGCAGCCTGTTTGCACAGTAAAGTTTTAGACGGGTTCTATACATTTTAGGTGTGTGGGACACACCTAAAAATGCTACTAGATGGAATTGAAAGCATTTTTGTATTCACTTTGTAGAGAGAGAGAGGTCTGTACAAGCCATGAGGAATCAGGCCCACTGAATGGACATCAATTAAAATGTAACTAAGAAATGTACTTAAAAATAAACAACAGAGAAAAGATGCCTCCACCTTAAAAAAATCATCATAGAAGATAATAAACAAGATAACATCATTTTTCTACAAAAATTGTTTTAAAAATATTTAGTACTGCATTCTAAAATCTATACTTTTGCTATACGGGGTTTACACAGTAGTGTTTAAAAAAGAAATTGAATTGCATCAAATCACGAAGCGTGCTTGGGACTTTGACCTTCTGCCTGAACACAGAGCCAGTTTTTCTCACAGCCATGCAGCTGCACATCCTGAGAACACTGCTTGCCACCTACCTGACCTTCAGCACTCTGCGGGAGGTACAAACGGGACTAACATCAGCCATTATACGGAAACCGAAAACCGAGAGTGAACGACCCACCAGGGGAGCACAGCCCTGCGCAAGGACTGTGATTCCAAAATGTTTGCTTTCCATTGCCAGAGCAATGGCATTGGACATAGGTACATTACAGAATTAAAAGCAATATCTGAGACCCTTCTGCTTTCTATAGCAGGCAAGAGGTAAGGGGGTTTATTTATTACTGCTATCAGTCCCCAGGTACTAACAGTTTAAAGCAGCCTACAACTGCAGACCGCTACTGTCTCTAAAATGGAGATTCATGCTCTGCATTTGCTGGGCACCCATTCCTGCCCCTGTCTGTCACCAATTCCATCTCACCCTTTAGCATCCCGTCAAGTCACAAAGCCCCAAACAAGCCTCAAACCTCAAGCGAGCATGTGAACTAACAGCAGGTGAGAGCACCATCACCAGTGTTGGCTGCAAACAGCTTTTAGCTGGCTGGGATTTAAAATCCGTAGGGGAAGAAAAGACAACGCTGTTCTTCCTTGAAATCAATAGCCTCTAGTTTATGGATGCTGAGCCCACGTGAATTTTACCTTTTCCATTTATCTTATGTATCACTTGCACTTTTTCCCAGTTTCCCTCTGTTTGTTCATAACGGTCACTAACCCGGTAAACGGATGTTAAATGGAAGCACTCATGATGTGCCTGCAGAAGTGACGACTCGACTTTGTCAGACAGGCTTATGCCCAATCACACTCAAAATCTGGCTTATGTACTTCAAATAGGTCTTGGTGGCCTCATTTAAAATGCAGTTTCCTTGAATATATATAGACAAACGGAAAGTACACTGAGTACACACCATCTAACCAGCATAAAGAAAAATATCTACATGTCTGTAATTCAGCTACCTATGGAATTAAGGGAATAGTGTAGAATGTGTTTACTCATGTTAAGCAGCAAGTAATTGAAAAAGGTAACATGAAAAAGTAGTGAAATCATGAACAAAATATAAATTATTAAACTTTTAAACTATCAAAGTTCTCAGTTGGGATGATCTGTTCTTTAACTTGCATCTTACAGTCAACATAAACAGCAACAAGAAATAATGCAGGGGTAAGAAAGGATAGTGGAGCAAGTGCTCATATATATATAAAAAAAAAGGTATGGAGAATTTACTGAAATAATCTAACAGTTTCACATTGTTGCTTTCATTCTTTTTGGTGCCAAGCTATTATTTACTTTAAAGCACTTAGTTTCCCTTAATCTGTCTTTCTCGTTTTCTCTATACACACATATTTTTTAAAAGCTGGAGGCTGCTTGGAAAACGGGCAAGTCCTATGCAAACATACTGGGGGCTAGACTGGCCCAACACATCATCAGAGGAGCACGGAAAGGCCATGGCTGGAAGACGCCTCTTGAGATCTTCCCATCCCGCCTGGAGGGGCAGCTGGAGCGTGTTGCTTTGAGCCATATCCAGTTGGGTTGCAAGTATCTCCCTGCACAGAGGAGATTCCCCAACTTCTCTGGCAAGCTGTTCTAGTGTTTGACTGCCTTCACAGTAAAAAAAAGGTGTTCTCCTATGTTTAAACGAAATTTCTATATAAACATGCCAGGCCAGATGGCAAATTTCCTAATATTTCCTTTATTTGTCTTCATGTATCATTTCATGTCTTTATGTCTTTCTCATTTTTTTTTTCTTCTTAGCAAAAAGAAAGAGTGATTGTAACACCTGTGTGTCCCTAGTAAAAAAGAAAGTAATAATCCTCGCCTGAATTTTTTGGATAGCTGGAAGTGCTCAGTAACATGGCTGCAGTTACAGACAAACCTCTCATCGAGTGGAAATTAAAGGCTTTGCCTACCCAGCACAAATGAAATGCCAGGCTCCACGATTGTGGCTTTCTCTTCAAAGAGGCTCCGAATCTGTCCCAGTTGCATTTATCTACAACACTGCTATTCCCTACGTCCTCTAGATGAGAGCAGGTCAGAAGCAAAATCTCTGGCTATATCTGCAGCACTCAGCAGTAGCACAGCAGCAAAGGAAGGGAAACCAACCCAGTTCCTCACAACCCAGACTGACAGACACTGATGATACCTTCTGAGCCCCAGATCTTTTCTTCTTTCTTAGATGAGAGGCAATACCTGTACATACTTCCTCTCCTTTTCACAGGCTGCTCTGGCACTACTGCCTGTGAAACACGAATTCCCACTCAAAAGAGCGCTCAGGGGTTTACTTGCCTCTGGATGTAGCAACACTTAACTGCACCTGCTTTCACACTAGATGGGTGCCTTTCTTTTTCACACACATGAGACAAGAACCGCACATTCAAAGAATACTTTAAATAGAGCAGTACTACTGCTGCAAATTTACAGCCCTCAGAATGCCAAGCAACAGATAAAGGTTAAGCCAGAGTTCCTGCCAGTGTTTAGGGGTCTAAAAATAAACAGGCATGCCCTCCACATACCAATGTCATGACATACTATTTTCTCTGCACCTCTGTGTGAACATGGAGAAGAAGATGGGATGTTCTGGGGACAGATCACAGACTCATTTTATTATGTATTTTATTATGTATGGCATCTCATGTGTTTGCTCCATTTCACTTTATGCAAGTGACATGACCATATATGGCTGCTGGAATCACCCTGCTTGCTGTTGTTTATATTAAGGATAATAACAATATCACAAAAAGGAAATAAAAATGCACCTGATGCCCTTCTGAAAGTGTTGCTACCTAATTCCTTTTCCTTTCTAGTAGCTGTGCAGGAAAAGATCAGACACATATCATGGGGACATTGTTATTCTAAGATACAGCACCTCAATCAAAAGAATCTGTTTGTATTTCATTAAAAGAAATCCAGCTTATAGAAATTTGCAGACATTACACAAATGATATTACTGCTTCCCTGCTCATTAACATCCAAAAAATATAAGCATTCGAATGCTTGAGACAGCAAAACAAGATTACTTGGTTTTTATAATTATTTTATTTACCTCTTTCTACCCTGCTGTCACTGTAGGTATTTCAAGATGACATTTTGGTGGTCAGAAAGAGAGATGACAGTGTGGTCGTCACTACAGCATAACAAGGGTCCTTCCCCACTCACTTTAAAATAGTGATTAGCGTGTTGCAATACACTGTGTCCTACGGTTATGCTGTGACAGAACACCAGAAGATGCACATTAGACAGATGCTGTATAAGTAACCATGTACTTATTTTGGTTAAGAAACATAACCCAGGGAAACAAATAATTCATATTTTTTTCTTGTTAACTCTCCAGATGGGAAAGATATTAAGATTTCGGAGCAGATACCAAGGTTTCTGAATAAAATTACAGGATGGCACAAAATGATTGAAGTGAACCCCCAAGCAAGCATTAAAAAAAAAAAAAAAAAAAAGAGAGAGAGAGAAGACAGAGAAAGCACAGGACTTCTCTCAGTTCTGGTCTTTTCACTTTTGCTTCGTCTGGAAAATGCTCGATTTTTCTAAATCCTGAAACACTACCACAACTCTGTCTGGATAAGAGTGTGGACGTAAAGAACAAGGGAGAAGCTGTAGCTCCAGGTCATTCCCTTTTATGAGTACGTGGTCTGCTACTGGTGAGCTACAATAGAGCAGCTCATGCAAGGAATCAGACTCGTGCTATCTAATTTGCTCCACTGAAGTGAGCATCACGTTGCTACTCTTCTTACTTCCAAGGTAGCAATTTTCTTATTTTTTTCTAAAGGCCACCCAACATGACGAAGGTAGATAGTTTCTTTATTTGTATGCAAAATGTGTCTCTCTCTTTAGCTTATTTTTTAAAATCTCACAAAACCACTTTTTACAACAGCATTTAAACTTTCAGCGCAACTTAACATTTCTCTGGTTGTGTGAAAGGCCTTGCTAAGAACAGGGCTTTTGCCTGGCAAATGGCATTTGCTCCTCCAAAGTCCATGGACCTGCCATAAAGATTCACGCAGTTTGACCCCCGGTTGAATTATTTGTTACTGGACATCTACAAAGTGTAGTAACATGTACTATATTATTAGCCACAGTGTATTTTGCCAAATCCAGTTTTCAGGAATCTCATACAGTGTAGCCCTTCCTACTGCAAATTAAGAGATCTTTCCTGGTCCAGGTAAGGCTGGGGACAGTGGTGTTTTTCAAGGGCAAGAGGGAAGAACCTTTGCCTGACTTGTGGCTCCTGCACTGAGCAGAACACTGGGCACTTACAAGCTTCATTTTCCTGTCCTTAAAGTTGGAATGACTCTACTTACCGCTGTCAAAGCACTGTAGCAGGAGTTCATGTATTTATCAGCTCCAATACATAGTTTAAACATGGAGTCCTCAATGAGTACGATAGACTCAAATTTTTGGTGAGAGGCAGCTCTCTCAGATTTCAAACTTCGGAGTCTTCTGCTTAAAGCTCAGTTTAATTTCCATTTTTAACTGATGTGATACAGACTAATTTTCTCCTTCCTTGCTGTTCTATACTCAAGTCAAGTAGGTGCCCCTACATGCATCACTTCTAAAACCTCCTCATCCACAACCACAGTTACCTAATTGACTTTGCTGTTCTTTTCCAAACTCCCTCAATCCTTTCAGGTAGTTAAGCATACAGAAATGAGCAGGGTTGTATGGCACTAGCCTCACTAAGCTCATTTGCCTCCTCAAAGAGCAGTATTTCCTGAAACTTTCCCTGGTTTGTGTACTTCTCTCCTTCAGTACATATTTATCACTCATTCTTTCTCCCTCTTTATTTCCTTCCTATTCCCTCTCAGATGCTTTGCAACATTAATGCTAACAATTATGCATAATTCAGTAGCATTAATAATTTCTATTATGCTAAACCTCACAGGCTCATTGCAGTTTCAGGATCCCATTGGGCTTGGTAAAAATAGAAATCCACTAGCCCAAAGACCTTCACATTCAACTGAGACAACGTGCGAGAAACAGGAAAACAGCTCAGCTCACAGGGTGGGGACACAAACACGGATTTGAACAGAGCAGGTATATGCACAGCAAGAGGGTTTTGAGTGAGCACCCTATTTTCTTTTTAATTAATGTAACACATTAAGTGAATTGAATAGGCCAGTGTTTTTCATTGACTGTACGGCTAGCAAGAGAGAGGATATTAAGGCCAGCACAGCAGCTTTATGGGCCAGTTGTGTACAGAATAACCAGTGTATGTTCCACAGCCCTGGAAAGCAGTGATGGAGATGGTCAAAGATGTTACTACAGAATATGGAGCACCAGAAGCTTCACTGCAGTGGAAGAGTTTCTGCAGCTCTCAACCATCACAAAAAACAGGAGGAGATCTTGCTACTATACTCACCAAACAGGCAATTATGGAAAGCAGCAAAACAATTGCTGATACAGTGAATCTTCTCCAAAAGAGTGACA